CCGAGAGCGACAGTAATTTCTTACTGTCGGTTTTCCAAAATGGGTTGATAGTGGTGAAATATATGAACTAAATTATGAGATGTCTCTAGATGTTTACATTTGCAAACCGACGCAAGCATGAGCTGCTGCCTGCTCACCATTTTCTGCACGGTTCCGTCCACGTAGGTACAAATTTTCTTGGTGCTCCGTGCAGAGATTTATGACATAATTTTGGAATCCCAAAATGATGTCATAAATCGAGCTTTAGTGGAGGCCAGGTGTGTCTTGGTTGTTCCATATTTGTCTGCCATCCTCTGCCTATAATCTGGGATGCATCTCTTCCAGTATATCCTGGGGGAGCCCAAGGGTAGGGTCATCAGTGAGACATAGTCCTTCCAGCATTCCATGACATGTCACCTACAGTAGGCCTCCTTCTAGTGGGACATTCCTCCAGCCATTTCTGCTCAACATGAAATCCTGCTTAATGCATCTAATGTTTGATTTTCTGAAAAGTGCATCAGCAATGCGCCTCTGATACTGCCAGACTAGAATCAGAAACCTACCCAACCTTCAGTCCCATGTATTCTCCAGAGTCTTCAACTAACTCTCTAATTAGTAAAATTGTTTTCAGGATGCCATCCTTAACAGCGTTCTTTGTTGCACTCTATTGGCTTGATTGTCAGACTGCAACAGCTTCGACTGCACTTCCCCTCTCTTGATACCATGTCCATCTGTCATGTCTTTACTTGGTTCCATTCAAACCACAAAACACATACCATTCAGATTTACGCAGGTGAGGATTCTCAGTCATCCAGGTCATAGTCATTCCAATAGAGTTAAAAAAAACAATCCACTGGACTTTGTTTTGTTGGACATTTTGCTTCCCATCCAGGAAGCTTTTTCAATTAAAAATGTCAGGTGTGAGTGTGTATGGGAAAATTGTTTTGGCTTAGAAAACATGCAAACTGAGCTGGACGAATGGGTTTGACCCTTGGAAATGGGCAATCGTTGGGTTCTCTGTTAGCCTGCAATACCCAACACCTGTCTATGTCTCTGAAAGGGGTTTCGTTAGAGGGAATTGTTGGCTTGGCTGACATTAGAAAATGTCGCTATCATGTCATCAACACTTTAAATCCAACATAGAATCCATAAGAGACATTTTGGATAAGTTTGTGTGTGTTTGGGTATGGGGTGTGTATGCTGTTGGGTGCAGATGGTGGTAAATCTGTTGTATATTAGATGGTAAATTATAAATAATATACTATAAATTTGTATCATCACTGCTATTATTTAGATACTTATTGTCATTATAACCTCCAGATACATGGCTTAGAAAGTTGTTTTTTCTTTTACAGCTTCCCTCATACTGCCAGTATGCTATCTGCTCATTTTAAGAGGCGAGACCAAACCTCTTTGCATGTCTTAACATTTGAACAGCTTTCTTTATAGCTCATCCACAATATTCCAACTTATTGACAGCACAAGAAAAAAAAATGGAATACATGGTTTCCTTTATTTTGAATTTTGGAGGATTGGATCCTAGTGTTGATCTGTGGTTATCAAGCAGGTTTTTTTCATTTTCTTGTGGTGTTTTTGAGCGGTGTTCAGATCTCTGTTCCCTCAGCAGGCCACCGTTCAGCCCCAGAATATAAATGATGTTGACCAGCTGTTATGTTGAAAGCTCACATTTCATTAGCGGTGTATTATGCAGCAAAACCTGATCAAACAACTCGACTTCAGTCCAGGAGGCTTTTTATATGGTTTTATACACTCCAGAGATCAGGGCAGAGCATGTTAACTTTAACGTTGATATTCAATCAAAAATATAAACATTCTAGAACATGTTGGTCTGCCTTCCTCCTACCTTAAAGATGAAGTGTGTCTCGTCTTTCAGCAGGCTGTCTCTCTTACTGTTTTCCAAGGCTTGGTCTCAGAAGTTAACGTCTTTGTCCAAAGATTGTGTGAACTTGTAAACATTTCATTTTAAGAGCTGTAATAATGACCTTCTGGCATAAAGAGTCATTTTAGCTTTGCCGTTATTCAGGGGTTTTAAGTTAAAGTCAGACTGGAATCAGTTCACCATGCAGGGACTCACCTTCTAAGACCAAGGATTTATGAATAGGAAATAATATACTGCATGCTGTCTTTGTGTTTTCAAAAGAACATAAAGCTAATGCTCCTGCCATTCTTTAGCATTAAAGAAAATGATTAGAGGTAAACTAAAAAGAAGCCAGAGCTGGTCTCTAGTATGATTTATTGGGACTGTCAATAATTATAGTTTTATAAAAAACCCATAAAACGTTTTACAGGAAAAAAAAAAAAAAAAAAAAAAAAAAAATATATATATATATATATATATATATACCACAGACAAATAGAAGAAGTGGCTGATATCAACAAATCCTACCAGTGGCTGGAAAAGGCTGGACTGAAGGACAGCACAGAGGCACTAATCATGGCAGCACAAGAACAGGCACTCAGTACAAGATCAATAGAGGCCAGGGTCTACCACACCAGGCAGGACCCCCGATGCAGACTGTGCAAAGATGCCCCTGAAACAATACAGCACATAACAGCAGGGTGTAAAATGCAGGCAGGAAGTGCATACATGGAACGCCACAACCAGGTAGCTGTCATAGTGTACAGGAACATCTGCCATGAGTATGGGCTGGAAGTCCCAAGGTCAAAATGGAAGACACCTCCTAAGGTAGTTGAGAATGACCAAGCTAAGATCCTATGGGACTTCAAGATCCAGACTGACAAACAGGTGATGGCTAACCAACCAGACATCGTGTTGATCGACAAACAGCAGAAGAAGGCAGTAGTGATAGATGTGGCAATCCCAAGCGACAGCAACATCAAGAAGAAAGAACACGAGAAGCTTGAGAAATACCAAGGGCTGAAAGAGGAGCTAGAAAAGATGTGGAAAATAAGAGCAGCAGTGGTGCCAGTGGTAATGGGAGCACTGGGGGCTGTGACCCCCAAACTGGGAGAGTGGCTACAGCAGATTCCAGGTAAAACATCAGAGGTCTCTGTCCAGAAGAGCGCAGTCCTAGGAACAGCTAAGATACTGCGCAGAACCCTCAAACTCCCAGGCCTCTGGTAGAGGACCCGAGCTTGAGGATGACACATACCACCCCACCAGGGGGGAGAAAACAGTTTGTTATATATATATAGTACTTGTATTTTGTTAAAATTCATTTTCACTTAGTGAAACTTGGCTTGAGTGATGCTGTTTTCACGCATAATGATTGTTCTACATGATTCCAGTTATATCATGAAGTGCTGCAATTTGTCCTGCAACAACAAAAAGCAATATCCACAGGATATTGCAACCCGTGTAAATCACAGGTGGGATGTTGTTCTTAGGCTAGCAGAGAACACATCACTAGCAGAGAGGCTAGTTTTACTAGCTAGTTTTATTGTTGCTTTAAAATACATCTACAGCTCTGATTTCTTTCATGAAAAGGTGTTGAGTTTATCAGAAGTGTTTCAAGCATCAAGACTAAGGAATCTAATTATTAATGACTGTTAAAATCCCTGGAGATGTGTCCTGTATGCTTGTAAATAAAATACTGCAGACGAGGAAATTCTCTCACTGTGTGCTGCTTTAGGCAATGACTGACCATCAGAGATGATAAAGAAGAACACGCTGCTCAGGATAATTTTTGTGTTTAAGAAATAAAGAATAACTTAGATGGTGTTTTTATGATTGCTTCTAATTTTTAAGTTCATCACTTATTGATATTTAGATTCTTGGCTGTATTCTCAACCTGAAGCAGAAGTAGAATATTTAAAAGCGGTGAAAAACACAATTACCACAAGAAGTTCAAAAGATAGCGGATTCCAGATTAGTTACAAACATTTTTAAAAACATAATTTGTCCTTTGTTTGTAGCTAACAATGATGTCACATTTTAAATCATATTTTCCTGCAAGATAAAGACGTTTCTAAAAGAAAATCCAACAGAATGCATTAGAGGAAAGAAGAATTCTCTGGATATCTTGTTTGTGAATGAATGAAAACATTGATTTTCACCTGTTAGCTGTGTCACTGTGTGATGTGGAGGCTGCAGCGCCTCAGACTGGAAGAACATGAGGAGAGTGGTGAGAACAGCAGAGAGGATCATGGGGGCTCCTCTTCCTTCCATTAAAGACATTTTATCCCAGCGCTGCATGTCCCGAGCCCGTAACATCATCAGTGACCCCTCACCCCCCCACTTTGTATACACTCTGTGTTTACAAAATGACAATAAAGTTGTGTAAGTAAAACAGATAGCTTCTTGCCAGGGACCCCCTTTGTAATGTCTTCTTTTTTTCCCCAGCATTTTATTGTCATTCCACTGTCGCAAGTACAGAGCAACGAAATTAACTCCATGTATTTAACCCCTCACCTTGGAGAGCAGCCGGCTGCCATTGAGCGGAGCCCAGGGAGCATTGTGGGGTTAAGGGTCTTGCTCAGAGACCCAGAGTGGCAGTCTGTGGGAGTGGGTATCCAAATCAAAACCTCAGGATTCCAAATGCAATGCCCTAACCACTAGGCCTCCACTCCCCATGCAGACATTACTGTATTGTCACAGACAATAGCTAAAAATATACAAAGAAAAATCATTTTCAAGTGTGAGATCTTGTTTTTCTTTATTTTATACCTATTTAGGGATTAGTACATTTGCTTATTATAAGAATATTTATAAAAGCTAAATAAAACTGGATTATATTCACATTTTTAACAAGGTTGATAATAAGAATGGAGCAGAATAAATCAAATCTTATTCAGGTGTGTGTGTGTTGGAAAGGCTGGGCTTAATGTCTGACAGGACATGAACTAAGTACAGATATTTCCCAACAACTTAAGGATAAAATCTGGAGCTGCTGTAAATAAAATCTAGCAGCATAGTGTAGTTTTCCATGTTTTCCATGAGAAATAGCTCTAAAACCAGGGACCGCTGCAAATGGGTCTTTTTATTAATGGAAATATGTCCAAAGTGAACCGTTTTTTTTTTTTCTGTTCTTTTGTTTCAGGTCTCATTCGGTTGCAAGAACTAATAAAAGCACCATCTCGGTACAACATTCGCTTAAAGATCCGGCAACTGCCTGCAGACACAAAGGATGCCAAGCCTCTATTGAAGGAGATGAAAAGGGGAAAAGAGTTTCATATCATCTTTGACTGCGGCCATGAGATGGCTGCTGGGATCCTGAAGCAGGTATGGACTTTGGCTCCACACACTGTGTGCTGCTGCTTCCATGTAAAATGAATGAATGGAGCTCTGAGAAAGCAGCAGGGGGTCGGCTTAAAGCCAAGGCTGTTACACAGTTTTCTCTGCAATATGTGTGAGTTATTTTCTTGGAACTGGATCTGTGATCTGATATAAACTAAAATGCCACCAAAAAAAGTTCTGCCGGAAGTGACTTATCTGCTGATTTTTTTTTATTATTATTCCGTTTTTGTTTCTCTGTTCAAGATCATTTGCAAATGAAGAATACAGCAGTAGCCATTCAAAATGGCCCTTCCTAGTCAAAAGCCAGCCGAAGGGCAGCTGAATGGCAGCAGAACCCCCATAGACGTGCATATTTTCTTACTCTGACTCCACCCTTTCACCGGATCACAGGGTCTGACCAGGAGATGGTGTTTCTCTTTAGATCTTAATGTCCACATCATGAGAGAGTATTTTATTATAAAGATTGATGTTTTAAAAGAAATTGTAGGGGACCAGCCAAGGACCAGCCAAGGGCCCATCAAGGAAACTGTGGAAATGTTGAATGGCTACTACTGTAAATGAGGGAGTAATCATTCAACATTTAAGTAGCTTCCTTATGATTGACCAAATAACTGCTGTTTCTGAGATGTCTCACATCCTTAAAAGGACACCTGTTTCTCAGAAAGTGATCAACCTCCCTGATCCCTGAAACTACTTTTGCCTTAAAAATGTCCCTTTCAGTCAATTATTCAATTCCACAGAGTCAGATGTCTGCATATCTGTTGATTTTGATTTTAGTTCCTCTACTAACCCATTCTAGTAAGCAAAGCCAAGAAATAAAATCTGTATGACAACTAATATTTGAAGCACAGGGAGAACTAAAAAAAAATTATACATTTCTGTAAACTTCTTTCTATTGAGTTTTGCTTGGTGAAGCCCACAATTAGCTTCTTCCACTGGTGTTCTGAGCCTCTTTTTGTGTCATACACTGTATTTTCGCGACTATAAGGCGCATATAAACGTCTTTTTTTCCCTCAAAATGTGCGGCGTGCCGTATAGTGCGGTGCGCCCTATGTGTTTTGTTACTGCGGACGTTGTTGAGACCAACATGAGAACGTTAAAGGGGGAAGTGTGGGCGTGGATTGGCTGCCACGTAAATCGACAGAAACTGCCACCTATGGTGATTTTTAAGAAAAAGACTTTGCCTAAAGAGATGTTTCCAGCTGGAGTCGTTATTAAGGCAAATGAAAAAGGCTGGATGGATGAGGAGATGATGACAGCGTGGCTGAGGGAGGTGAATGTGAGGAGACCAGGGGGTTTTTTCCACTCATCACCATCGCTGTTAATCTGTGACTCCATGCGTGCCCATCTCACAGCCGATGTGAAAAACATGGTGAAACAAATGAACGCTGTGCTCGCCGTTATTGCGGGAGGTCTGATAAAGGAACTTCAACCGCTCAAGATCGGTGTGAAGCGGCCGTTCAAAGTAAGGCTGCGAGCGGCGTGGGAGCGATGGATGACAGACGGAGACCACAGTTTCACGATAAGTGGAAGGCAGCGCCGGGCAATTAATGCCACCGTTTGCGGATGGATTGTTGATGCTTGGACTAACGTGTCTGCTGGCTCTGTTGTTCAAGCTTTCGCGAAAGCCGGCATTATTTCTGAGGAGCCGCCCGGCACGGAAAGTGACTCTGACAGCGAAGAAGGGGAAATTGGCATGTCTGATTTAGCGCAGCTGTTTAATTCAGAAACAGAGGATGATGACTTTGATGGGTTTGATTAATACTTTGTAATAAATACATGAATAAAGCACAGTCATACTCAGTTTTGCTCCCGCTCTATTTTTAAATACGCAGTAGAGGTATTTAAACATAATAGAGGACATGTACCTGTATATAAAAACCACGCCCTATAATCAGTTGCGCCTTATGTGTTTGTTAAATACAGTAATGGGACACATAACTGAGACTGCGTCTTTAAGTCTTGAAGGCGTCCTTAATTTTTTCCTCCTTCCCAAGTTAATGTGCATTTTGGTGCTACTCATAAACCCAGAATTTTCCAGCCAAACAAGAGAGCCATAAACTCTGTGAGGAAGGATCCAGTAACAGCGAAAGGGGGCCGTGAGAGATTTACACAGATTGGGAGATATTTGACCTTCTCCTCTGCTGCTAGAGGAGCTTCAACAGGAGTTCAGGACTTCTGTCTATAAGGCTACAGTCACATAGCAGCCTGAAGTGACCCGAATCCGATTTTTTTTGCCATATGAGACCTGTGTCTGATTTTTTTCCAATGCAACCCAGGACACTTGGCTCTGTGGTCCTGAATCCAATCCGAATCTGATCTTCAGATGCAACCTGTGTCTGAACGGCCAGGTCGCATTCATCCGACCTGAACGCTATTATTACTCAACAAAGGTCACTATTTTGCGTCTTGCTACTCAGAAGCAGGAAGAAATAAAACAACAACCATGAGAGGCGATGGTGAGGAGAGCAGTCTTTTTTTTTTAACCATCTTGGAAAAAATTTAGTTTTTAAGGTTGGGAAAGATCGCTATATGTGCTCCAGCACTACCATCCATGTTTACTTCCTTAAACGCAGAGCTTGTGAGATGCTTGTGACGTCATTGCGTCCTCTACTACTCTACTACACATGCAGGACACTTTAGTTGCATGAATGCAGTTCACACAAAAGATCACGTCCAGGTCGGATTATGTGAACGGCAATGCATAAAAAAAAATCGTTTTTTTACAAAAAAAAAACATCTGAATTTAGCATCAAGGCCTGCAGTGGCCCCCAGTGACACAGTTCTACATCCCAACCATTTCCCTGGTCTCTTTACTCTCTACCAGCATGGCCCCCAGGATGTCCCCATTGCCAGTTCATCTTTAAACCTGTGCCTGATTACTTACAATATGCCTACATTTTGCAGCTGTGTAAAAGAATATGCTGGATCACAGGACAAGCTCAAACAACTTGTAAAAAACTTGTAGAAAAAAAATTCCTATTAAAAAATTGGGGTTAGAAGAATTTCAGTCTCACATGCTTTGTTTTCTCTAAAGTAGTCAGTATCACAGCAGAAGTGGGAATTACTCTGAAACTGAATCACTTCAGTACTTAAACTGCAGCCCAGTTCATCTTCACAAAAGCTGCAGCCATAATCATCTGTGTATATTTTCTATCTTTGTGGTGAAAAATATGTAGCCAGGCAATTTCTTTTTGGATAAAAGCCATAAAAACAGATCTTTGTGTTTCTGGTATAAAGCAGAGTTGATGAGAAATTATAGCTTTCTTTAATATTTAGTTTTCGCTTTTAAATGCTATATAGAAAAGTTGACAGATGATGACAGTAAACTCTGGAACATCATTGAAACTAAGCAGGTCTAAACTTTCATGACAAAATGAACTTTTTATATGTGACTCATTGTTGTTTAGGAACCTTTTTTGATTCATTCTTATATTTTTGAGACGTCCAAAGAAAGAATGAATTTACTTTCACATGCTGATTTCCTCCACAAACGGTGAAAGTTGTCACAGTTTCTCATCTGACACCGGCAGCCATTTTGCCTCCATGTATTAAATCAGATCTAACCTGTGATCCATGGTGGTTTGATGAAGTTCACCGCAGGTAGAGCTTCAGTAATCCAGCACAGCCCCCACTAGATGGCCCAGAGCCAAACACTCTCACAGTTGGATGATAATAGAATAAGCGGATTTTACCACCACAGCCGCTTTCATAGGGCTATATTTTCAGATACATTATCCTGGTGAGAGGCTGGATGCCTATATATGTCAGCCGGAGGACTTATAATGGTTTTCTGAGCTGATAAGAAATTATGGAGTACATCTGCATGGAAGCATCCATATTTGTGTTTTACCAGCTCAGAGACAGTAGATCATAATAATTAATAAATAAATCCACAAATTGAGGTTTTATCATTTCATTATTTTGCACCTTTTTACCCTGTAAGCTGCTGGTAACCTTAATTTCCAGAGGGAGTCTTCCCAAGGGATCAATAAAGTACTGTCTAAGTCTAAGTCTACCTTGGTTATTATGTGGTTCTAGATAGAAAGCAGACAGACCTCCTCTCAGCTGAACCCGTGGCTCCTCCTGGCGGGTTCCTACCAGACAGGAACCATACTTTGCACAAAATTGGTTCCTATATACCAAGGCCTGTACACATATAAAGATGGTTGTGTTGCATGACTGATGGAGATTAAAGGGGGACTTTAAACTATAAATAATTTCTATAAACTAGACATTGAAATCACAAGCATTAAAAGCTGCAGTGTTATTTATACATGTGCTGGTGATTCATAACGATACCTGAGGGTTTGTTACACAGATTTAAAACAAAAAAACAATTTAAATCTTCTTTCAAAGTCTTTGCAATATTAAAAAAGGTTATCTCATCAGATTCCATCATCACCAAGCTGATGAGTACCACAGACAAAAACATGAAGATTTGAGGTCATCTGATTACCAGTGGTGGATGAAGTACTCAACAGTATCACTTGAGTAAAGGTATTGATACTCATTGTCAAATCTCAATCAACTGCAACTAAAAGTTACTCAGTCAAACATAAACTCAAGTTTAATGATTGAAGTTGTGACTTTTGAAAATACTTAAGTATTCAAAGGTACATGCATTTAAGAATATTTCAGAGTTCAAAGGACACATTTAATTTTCTAAAATCAGTACATGTCATGATCTTTATCTAAGGTCTGACCCCAAGATGCAGAAAGCCAAACAGAGAGACCTGGGAAAAGTTTAAACAGGTTTATTAAGAGAGTGGTGATGCAACCAGTGCTGCTCTAAGCACTAGGGAGTGAGTCCAGTGCTGCTCTGAACACTGCTCAACAGGGACTGAAAGGTGAGGGGAAGACACTGTGGTTAGTTCAGGCTCAGTGGGAAATTTGAATCTTAGAATTGGAGGAAAAGGTTGCAGATTCACTTCTCCAGGGAAAGATGTCCTTTATGGAATCCAGACTGAGAGGATTGTACTGTA